CCCACCACCCCGGTCCCGAACACCGTCCCACCACCACCGCACCACTCCGGCCCCGAACACCGGTCCCCGTTTGTGCTCGGGCGGGTCTCACAGCGCCGTACAGTCCCGATTTAACCCCTCTAACGATCTTGGCCGCCACATACGTCGGAAAATACGCCTGCCCCGCGGCCGGGGGCTCGAACTTCTGCCTGGCCGCGGGCTGGGCGGATGGGCCGTGTTTGCGTTGGCCCGGCGGGGTAGCGCGGGGAGGGGCGGCCTGCGGCCGGCCGCCGGTCGTGCGGACAATGCCAAAGTCCCTGGTCAGGCCGATCGCACCGACATAACACGGCTGTCCCGGCATGGCTTGTTTTGGCCGCGCTCGCCACAAAACCAAGGCTACTCTCGCCGGTAATTGCTCCAAGAATAACGGCTCACAGATCAGATTGGCCAGAGCGGGGTTTTGGAGTCGGCGCGACGGCCGCTTTATTGCTCAGCAGCTGCGGATGACGGTGCCTTTGGCCACCGAGCTCCACGTGTCGGCATCGCCGCTGCTGTCATTACCGTTCGATGCGGAGTTTGTATATGTTCTTTTCGCTCAGAAAGCGTAAACATAACCTTGTAAGTGGCCTATAAGCACATAACGCTTCACACTTGAGTTTTGTGATGGCTCAAGGGTGGATGACTGGTTTATTTGTGCTTTCCATGAACATGATTCTGGGGAAAACCCTTCACAGCACATCACAGAAGCTAGGCATCAAGATCGTCTATAGTGTAAAAAATCAGCAAACGTTCACTTGAGTAGCGTAAGCCAATTCGAGGTCGAGGTTTCGCGTGAATGCTATCCATCATATTTTCTTTGAAGCGCGAGATGTCCGATGTCCAACTAGCCATGCATGGTTTGTCTCGCGGTGGCGTTCCGGGTTCTTTGCGCTGGGGCTGGCAGTCAGCATGCATGTTGAAGTATCTTGCTAAATATACTGACCCGCTGCTCATCAGATAAGCCCGAGAGGCGGCTTTGTCGTATTTCTCAAACTGCAAGTCTGTGCGCTCTCCACGCATCCTCCGTGATTCGGTCATTTTCCTGGAGGCTGGACTGCGCCGCATAACGCCCATGCGAGGCGGCACAGTATCACTGAAGCCGCGGGGCGACGCCTTTTCCCAACGCCCTCGAACTGGCGAACCGGTGACGCCCGGCGAACGGCGCAGTCCCACCCCAGAAAGTGGGTAGATCGGGCCTCCGTTTTTGGGCTATATTTCCTATGCATCACCATGATGTTAGCATACATGTTCAAAGCAAAGTGAAACTTGCAAAATCGAATTGACCAGGGCCCATTCGCACTCCGTCATCACCTCACCGCGGTTTCTATGACCAGGGCATTGGTGAACGCGGACTCAAAATGTGCTGCCTAGGACGTAAGCGAATGCGGCTCAGAGTGTAAAACAGAGACGTGGGAGTGATATTTCGAATGTTTACCAGCATGTGAGTACCATCCACGGTTCCATTTCGGCCTCATCGTGACTGACCTTTCAGCGAGTGTCATAAAACAGGATACAAACGCCACACTGCAGCATCACGTGGCTGGGCATGGCTCACATGCCGGCCGTCCCAGGTGCTTTGCTAAAATGCTAAATCTTCCGCACCCCGTACTGTTTTGGTAATCAGGCGGTGTCTGCGACTTTGCCCGAGGTTTGTGCAAATTAGCTGGCTCGCGATCGGTGATCAGCTGGCTGATATGCATGTGTCATAGATCTCAACGGCCTGATCAGTCCTCAAACATTAGTTATATTCCCGTTGGAGCACCGGTGTTTACGGTATATTTTGACGAAGCCGGCGTGCTTGAAACTAGCGTCGCTCAATATCCCAGACGTGTTGAAGGAAAATGGAAATGAAAATTCGTTCCATAACTGTTGTTTACAGGCCAGCCCAGACTGTCAGAAGGTCCCCGTGCTGAACGAAATAGAGTGACCTCAGACAGGTTTGTTTTTCAGAATATCAGGAGCGTGGCTGGTGCTCGGGGGCTGCCTGCGCTGTGCAGTCTAGGCTGTTCAGTATGAAGGCCTGTCTCTGTAAAATATATTTGTGTGGAGTCATTTTGTGACGTGAACCCGTATGGCGAGTTCATATGACCAGTCCGGCATTTGGTATCGATCTTTCGTTTGCTAGGCTGACTTGATGCTCGACATTTTTGCAAATATTTCCTCCCGTTCGTTGCTCAACATTTATGTCTGCTGATCAACATTTACACGCTGCGAAATGAAACACCTCCCGTTTGTGTGTCTTCTCTCTTCACGGGAGCGACAAAGTTTGAACACATTTCACTCCCTCCTTTCACGTCGCTGGATAATCCAGACCGTTGTGCTTGACACGGGTTGACAGTCAGAGAATCTGAGCCTCTCGGTCATAGGGAACCGGCCTTTATACTTTTGCTGGTCAGGTTTCCGACTTGATGGTTTATGTCACATCAGTCATGCTTGCTGGATGTCATTTGCGTTGATTATAGCTTGTATCCCTTCAAATGGGCTAAAAAGCTATCTTACTAACATCAGGCATGATTATAACATATCTGAAGCTTGTGCTTATGGCTGGTGTGATTGGATGGTCCGATCTTGCTACGAAGCTCTCGCGCAAGTTTCCCGGCATTTTCCATTTCCCGCCATTTCGTTCTCTCTACCGTAGAATCTGACGCATAAATGATATGCTAATCGACTACTACCTCCTCGTTCCCAAAGACCAAAGGAAAACACTATTTTCCTCGTCCGCTCGCGTCCGCGGCTCCGCATCGGCGCAACGCACCATTCAAACAAAGCCCTTCCTGGAAGGCCGGCTCCGCGGCGCGGTCGTCGTCGTCGGCCGGCCGTCGAAGCCGAGCCAAAAGCGCCGCCAGTCGCTTGACTAGAGGCCGTAGGGTCGCGCTGGCCGGCTCGTTACTCGGTAATGGGAGGTAGTGCCGAGCAACGCGGCGCGGCGGCGGCGAAACACGCCGCGGCCGCGTCGCCACAGCCGGCTGGCGCATCCGCCGTGCGGCTACGGCTGCCGAGCACGGCAGGGACGTACCGGCCAGCCGGCCTCGCCAGCGCCACATTCCACGGCGCCAGTGGCCGACGCCGTAGGTCATGGGAGCGAACGCCGCCCCGGAAGACACTGCGCTGCACCGGTGTGAGGGTCTGGTGGACTGCTTGACGAATGTACGTGAGATGAAGACGTACGCATGTGGTCGTGCGCAAATGCACACATGCGCAAATGTTCGTAAATTATAATGCTCGTAATTGTAGGTGTTTGTAAGTGCCAACGTTGTTATAGCAGTTCGCATGCTCGAGTTTTCGTATTTCCAATGTTTATACAAGAAAACACTCATGCGGGATATGCGACATGCAAACGGCACAACAGAAAAAACTTGGGTAGCTTACAAATAACACAAAACATCGGATCACCTCAGTGATACAGATATTTCAGGTACTGAAAGCGGAGCATGCTGGTTATGCATAAAGTTATGTGGGGTCATTTCGTTCGCGCTTGCGCACAGTTGGCTCGGCCTGGAAGGCTTTGGTAATGGTAGCCGCATGGGCACTTAAAAATATTTGCGCATGCAAACCTCTGCGATACGAATTGCGGTGCGTACGTTAGAAGCTGTGGACATTTGTGCTGCGACGCGAGTAAATGGAATACGTGCATAAGAGGTGCGCACATTTCTGCTCACGAACATCTGCGATACGAATAATTACGCTACGCACTTAAGCGGCTACGATATTTGCCCTTACAAACGTCTACGTCCGTACACTTGCCTACCAACACGGGCGTTACGTGCATGCGCTGTACGTACATATGTCCACTTACCTGTGTTGTGATGTGGCTGGCGGGATTGCGCAGACGCGTGTCTCCGGGAGGTATCGTGCATGTACGGCGCGCGTTTGTCTTTTAATGCGTCTGAAGTGATTTTCAAGGGGCGAGTTTCGCGTCTTTTCCTCGGATTTTAAAGTGTTTGCTGCCGTTCAACTTCGCATAATATCTAGTAACGTCATGTAACGCCGAGCGGGCCGTAACTTTGGGAGACGGAGGGTTTCCTTGAATCGTATCAAACCTCGCCTGCAACATCGCTCTCGGAGAGCTGTCGATTGCCCCGTTGGGAGACCATCAGTACCCCCATGTTGTGTATCCTCACCGTGTTGCTGGTGTCGAGGGTTTACAGACCCAGATCGCCGCTCCTATCGTCAGCATTCGCGGTAAGGTTCAGCCCATTTCAATGCAGCCCCGTATGCAGAGTGTGGAGTGCGAAAGGCTCTATAAACGCGCTGGTCGACTTGACGTCGCGCTGTCCGCTGCCCAAACGACCCCATAACGGCACACGACAGTCCAGATGGCCGCAATTAACTGTGGAAGTGACGTCACGCCATTTACCGGCTGTGTCAGCACGCCGCTGCGCCGTTTTAATGACGCGAATGTATTAGCTGCGCTGCGCTCACAAAGTGACTGGCTTAATAGCCCGCTGGAGAGGGAACAGGTTCCTTCCGTGGACAGAGGAATGCATCACCGAGAACACTGACGGAGCGAGCCGTCCTGATGATCTCAAGCGGGGCGGCTTGGGCGACCAGGCCGTCGCTGCGCGGAGAGGCAGACAAAGACGCGCGCTGCATGTCCAAGTCGACGCTTGGGGAGAGCGCTTTGTGATGGAATGTGACAAATTAAAATTATAACGCGTGCACTGCTTGGCGTCCTCGCTCGTGGATAGGCAATAATCATGCAAACTCCGACATCCATCAGGGTGATAACACCGCAGCGTGTGGTAGCTCTCGCTGATTTGAAAAGTTGCGGTCGTTCTTTAGCGGCTGATGGAGGGCTTTTCTGATAAGGAACGAGGCCCCGCGCGTGCACGGGCAGCGGGCTCGGCCGCGTCCGCCGCGGCGAGCGCCGCGGCCGGTGGCGCGGCCGGTGGCGCGGCGGTCTGCGCCTGTTGTGTCGCGCTGTTGTGCGCGTCGCCGCTCGCCGCCTGGCGCCGTCGCCTGACCGTGACCCCGCTCCACAGGTCGTTGCCAAAGATCAATCCGCACGACGACGACGGCGGCGGCGGTCATACCCAGGTGCAAGTCAGCAACTTCGAGCCCATCCCCCACGAGCACGGCTTCTGCGAGCGCGTCGTCATCAACGTGAGTCCTGACGAGTTTCGTGTGCGTAAGAGTGCCAACGTGAGTGTCGATAAGTCTCGTGTGCGTGGGAGTGCCAACGTGCGTACCGAGAGTCTTGTGTGCGTGGGAGTGCCAACGTAAGTACCGATAGTCTCGTGTGCGTGGGAGTGCCAACGTAAGTACCGATAAGTCTTGTGTGCATGGGAGTGCCAACGTAAGTACCGATAAGTCTTGTGTGCGTGGGAGTGCCAACGTGAGTGCCGATAGTCTTGTGTGCGTGGGAGTGCCAACGTGCGTACCGATAGTCTTGTGTGCGTGGGAGTGCCAACGTGAGTACCGATAGTCTTGTGTGCGTGGGAGAGCCAACGTGAGTACCGATAGTCTTGTGTGCGTGGGAGAGCCAACGTGAGTACCGATAGTCTTGTGTGCGTGGGAGTGCCAACGTGCGTACCGATAGTCTCGTGTGCGTGGGAGTGCCAACGTGAGTACCGATAGTCTCGTGTGCGTGGGAGTGCCAACGTGAGTACCGATAGTCTTGTGTGCGTGGGAGAGCCAACGTGAGTACCGATAGTCTTGTGTGCGTGGGAGTGCCAACGTGCGTACCGATAGTCTCGTGTGCGTGGGAGTGCCAACGTGCGTACCGATAGTCTCGTGTGCGTGGGAGAGCCAACGTGCGTACCGATAGTCTCGTGTGCGTGGGAGTGCCAACGTGAGTACCGATAGTCTTGTGTGCGTGGGAGTGCCAACGTGAGTACCGATAGTCTCGTGTGCGTGGGAGTGCCAACGTGCGTACCGATAGTCTCGTGTGCGTGGGAGTGCCAACGTGCGTACCGATAGTCTCGTGTGCGTGGGAGTGCCAACGTGAGTACCGATAGTCTTGTGTGCGTGGGAGTGCCAACGTAAGTACCGATAGTCTCGTGTACGTGGGAGTGCCAACGTGAGTGCCGATAAGTCTCGTGTGCGTGGGAGTGCCAACGTGAGTACCGATAAGTCTCGTGTACGTGGGGTGTCAACGTGAGTCCCGCCGGACCTTGTGTGCGTAGGAGTGCCAACGTGTATACGCACTGGACGTGCGCATGCGCTGCGCATGTGGTGGCACGCAATGCTTCATGCATGTGTCAGCTCTGCTTGTTGCGTGACAGGGACTCGTGGCGGGCACGATCGGGACCGGGTGAGTTTTGCTTAAACGATGAGAAAATTTCGACTTGAGCGGGCCAGCCCCGTTATAATCTCGTCTAGAAAGTATCATCTTTGCAACCACTTTTGCATCAACATGCAGTTTTTAACATTGGAAACCTTAATCGTGTTCATTAAACGCTTCCTGCTCAAATGAGTAGGCATTTCCCTGCAAACCGTGTGATCAGACATAATTTTCCTGCGGCACGGTAAGCTGAGCAAAGTGTAGTATTCCCCATTTCATTAAAACGGGAGCGTAAAACTTTGTTGTTTTGTTGACACTATCCACTTTTAACCCGATCTCAAATAAGAAACGCTATGGCCTAATCCAAAACTGACTGGTCGTTACAATTTCGGAGGCAAATGTTCCAGTTTATCCAATACCAGTATCCAATAGCCAATATCCATCAAAATGTTTGCGTTTTTTAGTGCTCCTTTCACATTCACAGGAATTTTAAGTCATTCAAAATTAATCGATGTCGTTGACTGAAATTAGCACGCATTGTTAGGCCCAAAGCCAGCCAGTTTGCAAACTACGCTTTTGTGAACTTATAGATCAATACCACACATTAGCGCACCTTTCACGTCAAGCTCACAAAAGTGTATGCTTATGTTAACACGGAGGCAAACACTATTTCCATGGGCTTCCAAAGTCGCCCCGGTTCATTTGCGCTAGCGTTTGTTTCATCCGCATCACAATCAAAACTGATTCCTAGGCTGGTGCTTGACCCGGATGTACTGGAAGTCAACTCTGAAATAAGTTAAATTATCGCTGGGTCGAGCTAGGATCAATTTTTTCTATATCTGTATGAGTCAGAATAGGAGCTCAGCCGGCAAATTCCGCTGGAATAGTCGATGAGTTGACTGAAAGAGGAAGCAGGCAAAGGCGGATGATCTTCTTATGACAGGCCTCATGTGTTCATCCAGTGGCTGCGGTTGACATGGCGATCCGCTGCAATGTTTATTTTCTTGTTCCGTCATGCTACGAGCTAGATTTGATACTTAGTTTGTCCCAGAGATGAGGCTTCCTTTCCACCCTCAACCGCCGCGTATTCGCGCCAGTAGTGGTACAGAAGATTTAGTGCTATCTTATTGCGACATATACATCCCACGGCGGCTCGTAAATAGCCCATGGCCTGTTATATTTCCAAATTTGTTAACAGCGGAACGGACTCCGTCGGATGGTCGCCGCGATCTAGCTGTATTTCTTTTTAAAATGAAAATGGATCCACTCAAAACTGCGGTGCTCCTCGCGTAGTGAGAGTTAGTATTAACTCATATGCCATTCGTTGTAGTCAAAATACATTTCGCTGAGGCAAAATCAAGCACAGCTCTCCCAAGTCATCAATTATATATATATATATATATATATATATATATATATATATATATATATACATATAATGCTTTCCGATGTTAAATGCTGCTTTAGCTACATACGTTTCATTCCCGCAGAATTTTTCATTAACCCGTGACAGTTCACCTTGTATATACTATTTGCGACCTGTACAAAGCAATTCCAGCGTTTCTACTTCTGGTGCATGGCCCCCTGAGAATCGCTTGCTTCGAGAATTCTTTTCGTTCCGAGTAAGTTGCTTGAGCGGTGACCCAGTTCAGTGATTAATGGTGGTCCGTTTTCTAGCCCGCATCTGGGTCATGCTTTACCCAAAGCCGAGTATTTCGTTCACCCCGGTGGCACGCGTTCTGTCTCAGAGCGCCTGCCGCCGCAGGCTGCGGTGGGAGTCCAGGTGTCACCCCGAGGCACACATTCTGTCTCAGAGCGCCTGCCGCCGCAGGCTGCGGTGGGAGTCCAGGTGTCACCCCGAGGCACACATTCTGTCTCAGAGCGCCTGCCGCCGCAGGCTGCGGTGGGAGTCCAGGTGTCACCCCGAGGCACACATTCTGTCTCAGAGCGCCTGCCGCCGCAGGCTGCGATGGGAGTCCAGATGTCATCCCGAGGCACACATTCTGTCTCAGAGCGCCTGCCGCCGCAGGCTGCGGTGGGAGTCCAGGTGTCACCCCGAGGCACACATTCTGTCTCAGAGCGCCTGCCGCCGCAGGCTGCGGTGGGAGTCCAGGTGCCACCCGGGGCACGCTTTCTATCTCAGAGCGCCTGCCGCCTGCGGTGGGAGTCCAGGTGCCACCCGGGGCACGCTTTCTATCTCAGAGCGCCTGCCGCCGCAGGCTGCGATGGGAGTCCAGGTGCCACCCTGGGGCACACATTCTGTCTCAGAGCGCCTGCCGCCGCAGGCTGCGGTGGGAGTCCAGGTGTCACCCCGAGGCACACATTCTATCTCAGAGCGCCTGCCGCCGCAGGCTGCGGTGGGAGTCCAGGTGCCACTCCGGGGCACCCAAGCGGGGTCCTGGGTCACTAATGACGCTGAGAGCAGTGGGAGAGGATGAAGAAGGGCGACGGGCCTGAGTATGTTACGGTGGCTGTGACTAGACACAAACGATGAAAGAATTTCGGTGGAACTGGACGATGGTCGCTTTTAAGGTACGCTTTGTACTTGCAGTCGGCGTTAGACTGTAGCCATCTACGCTATACTGAGATCGATTTACGTATCACAGTTTCCCTAGATTACAGAATTGTTTTGGCGAAATCGGGCATTTCGCTTTTCCTTGCTTATTCCTAGGTGGCTAGGACAGTCGTGCAGTGCGTCGTGGGACAGCATCATTTTTTAAAAAGTGGAATCATGTGGGAGATTAATCACCTCGAGCATTGTTATCATGTCAGACCTGCGTGGGCAGATCTAATTAACTCTGCTTCCGCAAAGTTTTAAGTATCTATCGATTAATGTTTCAGGCGATCAACTACTAGGGTTCTGTTTCAGCACGCACCAAAACTCATCGCTAATTTTAGGCAAACCTGCCAAGTGTGTGAGCGTATGTCGTTATGCCGATGATGTCTGTCTATTCAATATTTCGAGCTGTAGATTCATCTACTTATCCTTCCAATTATCCATATATGTATATATATATATATATATATATATATTTATATATATATATATGTATATATACATAAGTGGATTTCTATTTCTCTCCGTCTATCTCTCTCTCTCTCTCTCTCTCTCTCTCTCTCTCTCTCTCTCTCTCTGTCTCTCTCTCTCTCTCTCTCTCTCTCTCTCTCTCTCTCTCTCTCTCTCTCTCTCTCTCTCTCTCTCTCTCTCTCTCTCTCTCTCTCTCTCTCTCTCTTTCTCACACACACTATCCATCTATTTAATTACGCACTTACGCATATTGATAACGTTATCAACGGAGTCTGGCTTCAAAAGGGAAGTTTATGAAGCTGTGTACTTTTACATCGCGGCGTCTAAGCAAGCGCACCACAAATGTCCACTTACGCTCACCGACAGGTTGTGAGTTATCATGAATACCTCACAATCCGAGTTTAACATTGACCCATTCCTGCCTTTAAACACAGCCCTTCTGCGAAGCTCACCGGCGTTACCGATTTCGCCTGGTGAATGTGGATCAGTTGTGCTGTCCGTGTTTAGAGGCGACCTCGCCCTGCTGTGCCGGCCCGTTTATCGGCCGGTCGCGTGAGGGGACGCCAGACCGCCTGTCGTCTCTCTGAAGCGCGCCTGAGGTTTGACCTTTATCGGCTCCGTTTGACCTTTCCACCGGACGCCGCCATTGAGCGCGTCATTTGATTAGATCTGCCCTCGGAACTCGATCTTTATTTCCATGTCATAAGGGGCCATTCACGCTATCGTGGTTTTGCTGAGGTCAACGGTGCTATTTGGAGGACCCAAGGGTTCTCCGTTGGTGGCAAATTATGGCCTTCCTCGTTGGGAGGTCATTTTCGGCCACGTTTGGATCAGGAAACAAGCTTATTGGCGTCGACTTAGTAAACTACAAATGGTCTTAACGACCCTTTCCCGTGAATTGCGTCTTTAAATAAGTTGGATTTGTATGCTTTATATGCATATGAAGTTGGCCAGGGGTCAATACATCTCATCAGCGTTGCCACTTATGTGACCTTTGTTCCTGGACTGACTTTTTAATCCCAGAAGAGATGCTGGCTTTTGGGGGAAGCTCAAGGGGGCAGGTTTATGCTTTGGAGCCCGCATTGAAAGTGCGTTTGGCATTACGGCCAATGATTGTGACCAACTATAAAGCTACTAAATGCAGCTAAGACAGCTGACTGTCCGTTCCGACAGCTCATGCGATTGGAGAGTCTACCTGGCTATTCACTTACGCGTGGCGTGGGTTCGCGTCGCTTTAGGTGCTCACCATTCGCTCCCGACTGGGATGCCTAGCGGCCCATGGCACCGCACGCGCTAAAAGTCAGGTGGCATCAGGGAGAAGGATGCCTACTGTTGAACGTTCAGCACGTTGAGCTTTCACCACAAAATGCTGCCGCTGACTCGGAATTTCACAACCGGGTGGTGGGATCAGGGCCAACGGAGCGACGTTGCTTTGCGTGGACCTGAGCAACAATGCAAATTCGAAGCTGGGTCCCGGCTCGTCAGGTACACTAGGTCGCCATGCTCAGCTCGAAGGGAGACGCATATCTTTAACTGCAAGTTTGAGGGTCTGCCAGTGGTTTGGATTTTGGTGTCGGTCCTGCGCCCGGCGCTCAGCCGTGTTTCGCACACCTGAGCGCTGACCGCATGGCCAGCGCGCTGAGGTTGAGACCCGGACATACCTTGCGCTTCACAGGTGAGCGGACTGCGGTTCGAGACCCAGCTGAGGACGCTCAACCAGTTTCCAGACACGCTGCTCGGCGATCCGGCCAGGAGGATCCGCTACTTTGACCCGCTCAGGAACGAGTACTTCTTCGATAGGAACCGAACCAGGTGAGCTGTGTGGCTAGGCTCACAGCTTTGGACTGCCAGCCGCCGATCATTTGCATGAGTGGGATGCGCATGTATGAGCATGTATGTATGCAACTACACACTTCTGGTCGACTCCGTTTCAAATATGGCAGTCCGGAAATAAAGTCCCCTTCGTCGATCTCACATAATAACCAATCCTCAATTTCACTTGTTTTCAAGTATGAAAAGGGAATTGAGATGGCTTTTTACAGTGATTATAAACGTGATATTCGTTAAGCAAGTTGTATTGTTTGGCTCGCAAGCGTTATTGCAAGGAAGTTTTCTTAATTCCCTTTTAATGCCTGTCATGTCTTACATTGTACAAGCACTATGTCATCCTTAACTTATTTTCGTCTGATCCAGAATTAAGTAACTTAGGCACAATAGGAACAGGCACAGGCACAAGTGCGTCTTTCAACAACTGTTAATGAAAACACATGGTATCATTTTCACTGTTCAGTGTCCACATGCGCAGTGAATACATCATTTGATATAATCCTGCCTTGTCAAAAAGAGGTCGCGCATGTACCTGGGTGCATTAAGTAGCGCTTACGATCCTAAGACTAAACAGTGGCTTCTTGAATTATATATTCATATACATATATATATATATATATATATATATATATATATATATATATATATATATACATGTATGCTGTAATTGACGCTGGAGACGAATCGGATCGTCATGCTTAGAAAACATTTTTGCGGTGCTGAATAATGCCCAGACCAGTTCCCAGCGCAGCGAACCAGCCCCAAAGCTGACTTTTTTAAAACCCGACATAACCGCAACTCAGGCATAAATGTTCCCCTTCCCTTTCTTTTAGATTATTTGTACTGTCTCTTACCCTGCCGAAGTAGGAAGCAAAGACGCACACGGTTTCACCACGAATGAATGTCTTCCGCATCGGAGGCCTGTCACCAGCTCCAGCATGGTGACCGTCCATGGCTGTAACTTTCTGTCACGCTTTACGGTTCGGACGTGGCCCCATGACGTGGAAGCGGAAGTTACAGCGGCCGACTGGGAACCGAAATACTCGAGCCAGATTAAAAGTTGTTCAGAGTCAGAGGTCGGCGGGGCCGAGGTCGAGCTCAGTGAATCAGCAGTCTCCGGCCGACACAATCCGCAGTGACAGGCCAGCCAAAGACCCCAGGTCGTTAGCAACTCGGCGAGCAGACCCCATTTCCCGGCAGTCAGCAGTATCGCCCGGGGTCACCGGGTCAGGACCTGTCAACCGGGCGGTGACGCCTGGGCGCCGGGGGTCAAATGCAAAGTGACCAGTTCGGGCAGATGGTTCGGGTGGCAGCTCCCGGGAACACAGGCAGAGGGCTGGCGGAAAACCTGCTCGCGTGCTGATCCCCTACACGCCTGTGTGCGTCAACACGTCCGCCCCCGCGCAGCGTTCCCCGTGTTTGGTCTCGCCTGCGCCGCGGCGTCGCCCTCCGTCCGGACGCGCGGCGCCCGGGCCGGCCCTGACTCTGTTTTCCAGCTCCGGCCGCGCCAGCTGCGCCGTCCCGGCCGATTGGCCGGCTCGGCACCCGGGCACACCCGCCGGAAAATTAGCATACGGTGTGATTAATGTGGCGAGGCGGCCGTGCTGCTGTCGGCGCGCCGAGCGCCAGCGGGCTGAGTCGACGGCCGCGGGCCGGGACGGGGCTGTTGGACCGAGCTCTCCCAACCTGGAGCGGGTCGGCGATCATTGCCGGTCGGGGGCGAGCACGGGGACCAAGTGCTCGGAAGGCTCTGGTCGTCAGACCGGGCAGCGGGCTGACGGATCAGACCAGCTCGCGCCGATCCCAGATGTGCTCGCGAAAGGGCGCCATCCTCCCGGGCTGGATTTCCGTCAGCGGGCGCACTTTTGCTCCATCTTCGTTCGTGCTGTGCGTTCCGCCTTTGTCAAGTTCTTCACGCAATCTTCATCATCTGTCCTATCATCATCTCAGCTGCGCTCACATAACCCACTTGTTCTTCAACTGTCAGCTCACGCTTGCCCGTCCATATCCGCAGGCTTCTTTTTCTCCTTGCTTAGCTTATTTTTACTTCCTGTCATTAAGCTGTGATGGTCTCGTAAGGCGGCCTCTACCGTTCACAGCGTCGCCATCATTGTATTATATAATTACGCGACTTTCATGCACGAGCGCATTGCTGGCTGCTGGGCAAGATCGTTTGATGTCTTTCTCCCCTGTGGAATTTTGTCACGTTGAAAAGCTATTCATGTGTTGGTCGGTCATCAACTGATTGGTTGCTTGAATAAGCATTCAGTGACATGATGGTTAAGGAGAGGTTTTCGGTCAAAAGCTGAAGTTCTCGCCATATTTGACATTTGCCTGAAAACGTCCTTGATTGAGCCCCTCACATCCAGGAGTTGGCGGTCTATTCGAAGTCAGCGGCAGATAGCCTTTGATATTTCCGTAGTTAACCGCGCCGCCAATGCGCCTGCCTTTGATGTGCCGCGTTGCAATATGCTTCGGTGTTTAGCATTCCGAGTCCAGGCTTCGAACAAGTCCTACAAAATTTATCAAGTCTTTAGAAATGGCTACGCATCGAACTTCGTAGGAGGCTGAAAAGGGAATGGGAACGACACTGCATTGTACAGCACTTCTAATTTTTCGTCAAATATCGTTTGTTAATTAGTCGTTCGTTAGGGGTGCCAAAATATTTGTGATGTGGTGTATCTAGCCAGCGTTTTGACCTAAGCACCATCCACGACAATTGTTTAATCCTCCGGGTACTGACGCCCGGGAATGACATGACCCATCCCCAAGAGAATCTGGGGATATCCCTCTGGCATTTGCTGCAATCGCGCCCAAATTCCATGTTGCCTTTGAGTACCCATGGTGCGTATTTTGACACCCAAAACGTGACCCTACCCTTTCCGGTTTCGGAGCAGCAGAGGTTTTTGAGGAACACTGCGCGGCGATATGCAGCCAGCGCGGACGGTGGGCCGACATAAGGAAGCCATACATCATAAATATGTGCTCAGAACACATAAAGCTATACACTGTTCTACTCTGACTCGGACAAGAGGCGCGCACGTTTATTGTTTGTGTCTGCAAAACATGATCTTGTACATATGAGCATGTAAAACTGCAAAAACTTGGATTTTCGGGAAGTTTGTTCCCTGACCCGACATAACGGGGTCAATTATTGATACGGCGAAGCAGAACGCCTTCCAATCGTGCAATCCCGTCAATATCAATCTACTGATGTTTTCCGCTAAGCCCTATCTTTTTAAGCTTGGAAACGAGAGATCGATCGACCTTCTATCGTATGCGTTAAGAAAAACGGCGAATCAGGGCGGGGGCCCTGGTTCATGGCCAGCTTTCTTTTTAAAAATTTACCCGGTTCGCTTTGAACTATCAGTATAACCATCACTGAACTCATATGTTCTCTGTCCCAGCCAACTATTTTTCAACTCGCAAGTGACAACTCGACGTGTACCTCCGCCTCCGCGGCGAGGGCCCGCCTACGCGGAGTCTGATGGAGAGCGACTGATCGAGAGCGACGTCTGATGTCGGCACCCTGATGTTGCAGTTTCGACGCCATCCTCTACTATTACCAGAGTGGGGGACGCCTACGGAGGCCTGTCAATGTGCCACTGGACGTCTTCTCCGAGGAGATAAAGTTCTACGAGCTCGGGGAGTACGCCATTAACAAGTTCAGGTGAGCATTCTCAACTTGCGTGTCACGTCTGGTGCGGCCAGGGACCGGCTGCTTGAAAATGGCATATTGTTACCTTTGCAGAGTTGCCAGGGCGAGGTTGTGCCAGTTCAGTTGAACTCGTCAAGATGTCCCCAAACTGTCATCTGTGTGAAATGCAGAGGGCTTAGAGGGTTTGTAAATTTGAGACAGCGAGGGGAATGCAATTCATATCGAAAGAAATTACGCTTATTTTCAGAAATGTGCCGTGATGAATTGATATTAAGATTATTTCAATCAACGGCAATGCCTATGTGTGCATCTGTCCACATATGCACTGGGACGGGCATAGACAAAGGAGTGAAATACTGAAACTAGTTGTCATGCAGACCTGCCTTCGACGTCATTTGGATCATGTTCACAACATGTCACTATGGTTCTATACAAACGTCTGTGTTGGCTGTAATTCTGGCAGGTCTATTAGGATTTACGACCCAACTTCACAATTTGGATTTAGGGTAGAAGTTAACTTTGATAAATTGATTGTTGTATCACTAATATTCCCGATCAAAATTTGCGTATCTTGGCAAGAGCGTAGGATATCGCAGAAAGTGGGTGACCAAATCCTGTTTCTAGGGCAGTTCTTTCGATACATTACCGTCACGTCAATAATGAACTTTATCAGACAATTGGGCTTGGGAACTACCCAGTCCCTACATCTGGGCGGACATGGCAACCGGAGACGCGATATGCCATATTCGCCGTAGGAAATCTCTAAAAAGATCCTGGAGAATGTCACATGGCCGTGGAACGAGGCTGACCTTTACGCTATTGCTCCCGAAACAGCAGTGTCAGCGGTCTGCAATCCTTGCTAATGACCACGTGTGATTGCCTACACTGTTTCGAAAGCCACGCATGAGTCTTATGAGAGCTGTCCTGTTTCCAGAGAGGATGAGGGCTTCATCAAGGAGGAAGAGCGGCCACTGCCCAGCAACAAGTATCAGCGCAAAGTGTGGCTTCTGTTCGAATATCCGGAGAGTTCGCAGAACGCGCGCGTGGTGGCCATCATCTCAGTCACTGTCATCCTCCTCTCCATCGTCATCTTCTGCCTGGAGACGCTGCCCGAGTTCAAGCACTACAAGGTGTACAGCGCCACCAACAACACGACCGTGGAGGAGGACGAGGTGCCGGCCGTGACCGACCCCTTCTTCCTGATCGAGACCATATGCATCATTTGGTTCTCGTTCGAACTGCTAGTGCGCTTCGCGGCCTGTCCGAACAAGGTCAGCTTCTGTCGCGACGTCATGAACGTGATCGACGTGGTCGCCATCATTCCGTACTTTCTGACGCTGGCCACGGTGGTGGCCGAGGACGAGGACGTGGCTGCCCACGCCTAAGCCCACAGTGCCCGGCGCCGAGCACGGCTCCAACCAGGCCATGTCGCTGGCCATACTAAGAGTGATACGGCTGGTCCGCGTGTTTCGAATATTCAAGCTCTCCAGACATTCGAAGGGCCTGCAGATCCTAGGAAGAACGTTAAAGGCGTCGATGCGGGAGCTCGGATTGCTTATTTTCTTCCTGTTTATAGGTAAGTGCCGCCGGCCGGCCGCCGGCCCCGCCACCGCCGCCGCGAGATCGGTACTCTCGTGCGACTCCTGCCCACTGTCACGTGCTCATTGCGCCGCCTTCTCCGAGCGGGAGCGCGCCGTGTCTGGCGACGGCGTGCGGCTGATAATGATGTGCCTGCGACGCCCGCTGTCGGCGCCCCTGGCGTGCAGACCGATGACTGCCGTGGGCTACTGGCAGGAGGAAGCCCACTCGCCGCTCGTCGGGGAGGCGGCTCTCCGCGCACGGGGCGCTGGTAGGCACCGGCCGCCCTGTCCATGGGTGCAGTCAAGGGACGGGATGCCCGTTAGGGCTTGATGTTTTTCTTCTGGCGGCATTAGTGGTTACTGCAGACAGATAAAGGTCAGCGTAATGCGTCCTCATGGAGCTCTACCATCCACCCTCCCACCCCCGCCCCCTCTTAAAAAATCCTGGCTGCGCCCCTCCCGCTTTTGGTCCCGTTTTCCAACGATATCGTGGTATAGATGGGCGTTAATCAGTGCATATGTCGTTGGTAAACATCATTAATTTCTTATTTTCTACGCATGCTGAATTTCATGCATTGACCTGCCATACCCGAATCCAACTCTTCAATTATTTGAGGTACCTTGTTTCGTCGGATGGGGTTCACTGTTATCAAAATAGCGAAAGTAGAGTAACCCTCACTGGAGTAAAACGGCCCTTAAATAGTGCGGTATAATCTCGCACTGCTCAGAGTTCCATCAGCCATGCTTGCCAATTGACGATCATGTATTTATGAAATACCATCACTACACTTTCAAAACCCACAGCGGTGCACGCATGCTGAAGTCTTAGCGTTTGTATGAGTCACACGCTGAAGTCAACGGTGCTTACGTGTTTATTTAGTTATCCAGCATGGCCAGTTGTCATGATTGAGAAATCGTGGAAATTTTGATTGAGACTGTAAATTGCTGGGTTAAAATTGCGTTGAAAACATCATGATGAACATCATCATCGCCATCATCATCAAAACATCATCACACTGATGTTACGCATCCGCGTGATGAGGGAAATCATACCTAGCTCTTCCAGTAAGCCATGACTCAGCAAACGACTCGTTTCTTAAGCTTGCTCCGACTTTCTCCCAGGAATTAAGGACATGTGATATAAAAATGAAACTTATTTTCCGCCTAGCGCAGAATTAAGACCCAAAACGATTGGAGCTTCGTTCCGTCCGGCTTTCAGTTCAGTGTCCAGCGTGGGCCAATATTGGGTTCAGAATTCGGCAGTTCGGTGCGGTTTCTCGGGAAGAGCCCATCTGTCGCGGCCGGCGCCTCTGAGGTGTCGGCGGAGTGAAGAGGGCCGCCCTCCCGCCGCATCGGCGGCTTTGGAGAATCGCTACTGCCGGAGCGGCCCATCCGTTCTGCCGCTCCCGTCTTGACCAGAAATACGGACCTGCTCGTGGGACCGCGGTCCGTGCCGCGGCAGACCCGAGTCTTCTGAGACCATCCAAACGGTGACTCGGCCTCGGTGCGAGGCCAGGCGCCGACTTAGACCGGCGCCATGCAAGGGTGCAGTGCGTTGATCGTCTCTGGTGACAGCTTAAGGTCATGGCTAGGCGTAAAAGTCCTGGCAGACAGTTGGGTTTGAAAGAAGTAGCTGCTTTGGTCCCCGTCCGAAATAGAACGCCGGTGATGTCACAGATATCCAGCATTATTGCCGAGGTGCTCAATTCTGACCAACACCTTGTCGTTTGTTGCACACAGCATTGTGTCTGCTCGTGTCAGGTGAGCACATAAAAACAAAGCGACAATATCCGGTGGCAACAATATCCGGCGCTTGTTATGCATTTGACGCATCGCTTATCCGTTCGCGAAGACAGCTGTGGAACACCTACCTGGTGGACATAGGTTTCCACCTAATTTGGCGGGGGCTCAATTTCTCGGTGGGGACATCCACATCTGGGCACGCAAGACGCATGACTGCATCCTTAGCCACTAGGATGCGAAGGCGACTTAGCCGCGCCCTTCGGCGGCTGTGATGACAGACAACAGACTGCGCATGCGCGTGTCAAGTCCCGAATCCTTGCCGCGCCCAGCGAAATTGTGGGGTAATTGAAACTATTGTTGAACGCGTGTAGGAGCCTACTAAATCCCGCAAGTCCACAAAATGAATCATACGTGGAGCGTTGCAATGGGCCAAGATTACACTGGATTTAGTCTTTTTTCAAACCAATATCGATATGAAACCGAGGCCGACGAAGAGGTGACGCCTTCGAAAATCCTGTTTGGCAATTTTTTTTTCTTTTTAAGTAGCTGTGTGAAGAATAGGCTTTGCCATACTGATGTAACCTTCTCAGAGGATTATGTATTATGGCGCTTCTTAAGTTAAGTTATAATTGCTGGGGCCCCCAGAGTACGTCAGGAAGTAACTAAACGGTGAACTTTTGCGTCAAATTCGAACTCTTGCGGTTTAAAAACTGAGCTAACAAGAAAGAGCTAACTGAGCTCCAAACAAACAAGAGCAGAAATATCGGTAAGCTCCATATGCAAACGATCAATATGTTCGACCGTAAGGCTATCGTTTCAGGACATACCAGCATTCCTAAACGTCACGACTATTTTGATGCCAGGCGTGTGTAGTAGTTGCCAACTTTTCATGCGTTTTTAATCGCAACACCCGTGCGCTTAGTCTGCGCCATTCCAGAATGATAGCCACAGGCAGGTGCAGGACTGGCCGACCGTCACGCATCCAAACATTCCCACATGCTGCACTCTTGTCTTCCTGTTTGCTTTGGATGTGTGCGGGTGCCGAATTCGCTGCAATAACAGCGAAGCTGTCTTCAAACATTCCGGAAGCAGGAGAAATAGCTTCCAGATCTAAAATTGTCGTTGGAATTTGCACGGCGGTATCACTTCTGTGTAGTTTATGCGGTGGACTCAGGTATACTAGGCCTAACAGCGGCATGTGCTGTAATAAAGGAATGTAGAGTATTTCTTCACCAATGTAGGTTGACCTTTCGTGTTGCCTCTGTTTGCATAAGCATGTCTTTATCTTCCATCTTGTATCCGTCCCTTCATTCTGTAGCATTCCATGCGTGAACAAAGCCACCAAATGCTCTCAAAAACCTATCGTTTTCAGAACAACCGAACATTAAACGTGCGGCGGCAGTCATCAAAGTTGGCCCACGCATGCCTCGAGCGGCTCAATTTCTCTGTGCTTTAACGATAGCGATGCACGATTATCCAAGGCTATCATGAAGCTGTAAGACTCGATCAAAATAGGATTATCGTACTCAATCAAAGCACTTATTGCGCTGCCTTACTGGGGCCGAACTAACGCGCTGGAAAACGGGTCGCATGTTTAACCCAAGCAACACGCGCCTCCATCGCTCCCAAACATAGCGACGGCGCCCTAATGTTACTAATCTCGTCTCAGGTCACTTCTGGCTTGAATCGCTGGAGGCGGGGCGGGGGGAGGTCCCTGCCAGTTCCGGGCCGGGGAACAGTAATTGTTGCCTCCGGATCGGTCTCCGGCACCGGCGCCGCTGATGAGCGCAGAGCGCCGCTGATGAGGAGCCCGACGGAACAGATTGATCCCGAATAGCCGTGGCAATTGCCTATTAGGCGACTCCGGCAACCGGCGTGCTGGCTTACACGCTGTGTCGGGAAACCTGCCCGGGCTCCTGGCAGCAGCCGAATCTCTCCTGGCCCGCTGCAGCAAGCAGCGCTGGTGAAACACCCGGTAATCACCCATAAACTGCTGGAAACAGTGCACCTGGGAATATCTCAATGTTTTGAAACACTTGTGCGGGTACAAAGTATTCTCCCATGACAAGCGTAGACGGCCAAATACTGCGCCGGGGTCTGGTGCGGGAAAGACTGCACCTTTTTCAATGAGCGGCCATTCGTTAGAAAATCATGCATTGGATACCCGGAAAGGGGCATTCGATGCCATGCAAAACACGCTCCTTTATCCCTGCGGCGGGGCTAAGTGATGGGTGGTTCGCTGATGATGTGTGCAGACTGATCTGTTCCATGTTATTTCCATACCGGGCATTGCTGCTCTGGGAAACGATCCAGCATATTGCGTGCATCTCACAGTGCCGAGTGCAAGGTCAGCAGCAGTTAGTCAGCATTGGTCGCAGATTGGCGTTGCCATGACGACGTCCATGCCTGGCCAGTCAGCCGCAGCTGTATCGGACCGGCTGCTGTCGCGTCGTCAGGCCCTTATGTCGGCCCGGCCTGCCGCTGTCGTACACGTGTGTCGTCCACCTCCACAATCTCAGCAGCGCGAAAAGGCCCGACTTTCCTAGAGAGCTCCACTAAGGTGCGGCATAAAGCACGCAGTAGCTATCGTCCGTTCATTCGCACGGATGTGTGAATTTTCAAGTGGCCGGTGTGTCGTTTTGATTTAAAAGTTTAGGGTCGTGGCAGCATAAACCCATGGTCACCAACTATTTCCAGAGATCAAACCGACTTGTGTCCGTAGTTGAGAGAGGCCGCTGTTCTTCACAGTCAACTTCTTGTTATTTGACTTAATTCAGTACGTACCTTGCTTTTACATTTCCTACGTCCATCTCACATTTCACGAGTTGACCAGCAGCGACTGGCAGTGTAACATTTGTTCTCACCGCTGGAAATGGCTGGAACGCAATGTCAAAACTCTTATCTTTCCCTCCCCCTCCCTCTCTCAGGCACTTATGGGACATCCTAGATGCGCAATAGTTCCCTAGCCACGTTATGTAACGAACAGGTGCGCGGTTCTCCAGAAGTCGAAACCCCAGTGGGACGTTCGTGGAAGGGGATGCACCAGAAGATAATTTGCATCCAACGCTGAGCGCGGGCACGTCTAGCTGTGAATAATTTCGTTGACTTTCCTGAAGCTGGTGGGATAACGACTGCACATTCATCGGGCCCTCGTTCTCCTATCTCACTGCATATTGCAGCGGAAATCAAATGGCAGCGCCTTAGCGTCTGTCAAGATGAGATCCGCTCATATGAAGCTCAACTTCTCCAAATTAAGCTACAGCGTTGTATGAGGATTCATGGCATGCAAGTCCCAGAAACACATGCATAATCCAACGACCATGCATCAAGCTCAAATGACGGAAGAGCGTGAGGAAATCGTCTCTATCCCAGGTACGGTAAAATGTTTTAATCTGTGTGACAGTGTGCTGATAAGAACGGCTTTAAACAAGCGGAGTCGCAAGGGCCGGTTGGTTTATGATGCAGCCGTTATTTGCAGACATCATCATACAGGTTGGTCACAGTATATTGTCTCGTTTGTTACCGTTCACCGATATATGACGAGCTGGTCAAATTTACATGACCATACCCCTTTGGTGTTTGGAGCGGGGCACCCGCGAGACCCCCTCGAGCCTGAGGCGGCCAGCCGCCTGGACCAGCCGGGGACATCCGCCAGAGGAGGTCCCAGCAGGCGGAGCTCGACCCCGCCGAGGACACCGGATAACAGAGGGTGTGATAACAGATAACAGGACAGGACAGGGTGGACCAGGCCAGGCCAGGACAGGACAGGACGGGCCAGGACGGGACCGGACAGGACAGGAAAGGGCAGGACAGGAGAGGGCAGGACAGGCCAAGCCAGGAGAGGACAGTGCAGGACAGGACAGGATAACATAGGATATGACAGGACGGGGCGGGCCAGGACCAGATCAGACCAGGCCAGATTAGGCTTCAGTAGACTAAGCCAGGCCAGATCAAATCAGACCAGACCGGACAGACTAGACAGCGGTGACATTGAATGTACCGGAACGAAACCAAACGGACGGAATATAAGAATAAACAAAGCGTAAAGAAGCGAAACGAAATGAACAAAGTGAAATTAAACGAAATTAAATGAAAAACGGAACGAAACGAAACGAAACGAAACGAAACAAAATGAAGCAAAACGAAACGAAATGAAACGAAACGAAACGGAACGGAACGAAATGAAATGAAACGAAAGGAACGAAATGTATCAAAACAAAACAAAACGAAACTAAACTAAGTGAAACAAAACGAAACGAAACAAATCGAACCAAAACAAAGTAAAACAAAACAAGCAAAGGGAAAACAGAACAAAAGGAAATGAAACGGAAGGAAACGCGACACACTGAGAAGAGCGATCCAGGTCGGACGAGAACAAACAAGACGGACCAGACCGGAAACGGTACTCGGGCGGAAGCGGAGCACGGGAACGGCTCTTCGGGCACGAGAGCGATGTCGCCGGGAAGCGAGTCAGCATGGCACGCGATGCCGGTGGCACCGGGGCCTCCCATTTGCGAGCAATATGCGGAGCCAAACCCAATCGAACCGCTACAGGATGGCTCCCTGCCGATGGGCTGAGGTGGGGCTGTAGTATTAAGGCGTTGGTGGTGCTCTTGGTGTGTGTCGAGGGCCTAGTAGTGTATTTTCTGCTACCTGTCCTCATATGCTCAAACGTTGTGCGTGTCGAAATTCGATTTCATGGCATTGAAGCAGTTACGACGTTTGTCCTCAGCGTGGTGCAATAATATGCGGAAGGCCAACGTAGTGGGGTTAGAAATACGAGCCATACACAAGCACAAGTCAGTTATATTAGGAATGAATCTTGTTCATTATGTATGGTTCTACGCCTGCGTCATAGTATACAACTACGCACCCGCGAAGTTGCCGTTCTTAAACACCGAACATTTGGTGCACCATTTGTACTGTTGCACATTTTGTGAAGCCAAGTACGCTTAAAATGCGGCTACAAGCTTTAGTTTAGAAAATCGCTGAATCGGAACACCACCGACCGGGTGACCGGAGAACCGATGGGAAGCCGGGACTTCGGGATTCCCTTCGGACGGCTGGGGTCGGCTCCATCATTGCCACGTTCACGGCATCTGCTAATCGTCTGGCCAGTCCAGTCCACATTTGCCGTCCCCGTATTATCATATATTAAATATTAACCGTCTCCATCTGCGCGCTTGCCTTCTTGTTGTCTCCCCTGGGTACCGAACATTCTCCACTGATGGGCATTTCCGTCGCCTTCAATGCGTTTCGCTTCGCCTCTGGTGGCCTTCTGTTGTCTCAACCTGGCTCTTTTCTATCTTAACATGGACGGGCGCCCTTCCTCCCTTCGAAACACTCATTCTCGTCACTTCCGCTGTCTGCTTTTCGGCTATCACGAATTGTTGGAGCGACGGAAACGCCTCCATAGCGTCCGATGACGCTCCTTCCCTGCTGCGATCTCCGCTGCAGCCGCTGTCGGCCGCATGTCCGCGTTCGCCGTGTGCGCCGCCACCGCCGGCCTCCGGCTTCTGCTGGCCGCTTCCAACGGGATCAGCTGGTGGGGCGGGTCGCTTGGTCACTGTCGCGTCGCTGGCCACGCCGATCGATACGACACGGCGCGCGGCACGACCCAGCAACGCCCCCCGCCGCCGGGGGTCACCCCCCCCCCCCCACCTCCCTGGGGGCGTGACCCGGCCGCCGCCGGCCGTGTCCTGGCAGGCAGCTGACTGGTCAGCAGTCAGCTGGGTGGGGGGGGGGAGGGGCGGATACAGCAGCCGGCGTGAGTTTTACCCGAATCTGATCGGGGTCACAGTGCTGCCCGGTGGGAGGGGCGGGCTTCCATGACGTCCTCTCTGACGTCACAGCCTGGGTCCGGCTAGCCAGTCGCAAGCAGGGCCGCGCTCGGGCAGCGAGCTCACGCCTCCTCCCTCCCCCCCCCCCCCCCCCCGCCCCGCCCGCTCGCCGCCGGCGTCCCCGGGGATGCGAGGCACGCTGCCAGGAAGAACGCGTCACTTGCCGCGATTTTCAGAGCAAATAGAGCTCTCAGATTGACTGCATAATGCAGATATTGGCCCTGTGACGGGTCCTCCCAGTGGATCTGACGTCTTCCGACGGACGTGGAAGGCGGCCGCGCACCAGGAAGACTCCGTCTGTCCCGCGGGGCACTGACCGCCCCCGCCCCGCGCCCGCTCAGTGGCGGCGGCCGCCAGTGGCTGCCGCCGGCTGGTGGCCGGTGTTTGGCCGAGCTCTAACTGGCTCCGAAGGGACAGACAGCGCCGGCGGCGCGCCGAGTGACTCGCGGAGTTATGTCCAGTTCGACGCAGCTAACTCGACGCCAGACTGGCTGGGCGGCGGCAGAACGACGGCCGCCGACGGTCCCTGGGGTTCACCGGAACAGCTCAAGTCTCGCCCCTCAGTGTGGACCGAGCTGTGACCGTCTTGAGACATCACACGACAAACTTGCGGTCAGGAGGTCCTCCAAGTGTCGCGTCTTTCCTGGCTCACTACCATCAGGGCGTGGATGATGAATATATGGCAAATGCACGTATAAATATACTTCCGGGTGTTTCGTGCGGTGCCAGTACTTTCTACGTTCTCGACCAGGTTGTTTAGGATATCAGCGTCGTGGTGAAGCCCGCTGTTTGCATCGGCATGGAGTGAGAAGCACTGGCGTTTATTGAACAAATGGTGGTCATGGACGAACATGAACTGATACCAGCCAGGGGCTATCAAACATGGACGACTGTCAGCTAGCAGTGCCAGCTCTAGTGGCACGGTGCTGTCAGACTGGCTGTACTAGGGCCGGGCGCGCCCCGAAGGAGGATTTTGTGACTTGTACACGACACATTCCGGGCCCCCTCACCTGAACAGTGTAAGGCAACAGCGCCCGGCCTCTAACCGAGCTGTGCTTTGCAGGTGTGGTTCTGTTCTCGAGTGCCGTGTATTTCGCCGAGGCAGGCAGCCCGGAGTCGTGCTTCGGCTCGATACCGGATGCCTTCTGGTGGGCCGTGGTCACCATGACAACTGTGGGCTACGGCGACATGAGGTGACCACCCCGTCACGTGTTCCGCCCCCACCCCCGCCGGCCTGACCCGCTCTCTCGCTGTGTTGCAGGTGTGGTTCTGTTCTCAAGCGCTGTTTACTTCGCCGAGGCTGGGTCGGAAAACTCTTTGTTCAAGTCTATCCCCGATGCGTTCTGGTGGGCCGTGGTAACCATGACAACAGTCGGCTACGGCGATATGACGTACGGAAGTCACGCCCCGGCCGATCTCTCACCCGTCTAGTCCCGCCATCCTCTCCTAGTGGAGACTCACCGCTTGTGCCCTCTGTCTTTGTCCCTCGGTCTGGCTTGCTCACTTCTTCTGGCAACTCTGCTTTGCATGCCACTTTTGCATGCCGGTGTAGATAGACGGCAGTGTTTCAGGAAATAGACGTCCAGGGGCTGTTGTGGCCCCTGCGTTCGCCTTCATCTGCACGACAAGACAGTGTATTTCGTGAGTTTGGCGATTCACCTGCCCGTAGACATAACAGCACCGGGTGGAAGTAGCCGCCTCGACGGGGTTTGCTTCTCAACGATCGCATGTGTAGTTTATCATCACATTAGCCAGTGTTTCCACAGACCACGAGAACCTCATTTGAGATTGTCTCGACTTTAAGCTCATTACCTGCAGCAGACTATGTAGCTACCGGAATGTTATTAAACACCAGACTGCTCTTTTAACTGGATGTGACTGGTGGCGATTTTGGTACGCCTGCACCCGTGAGCCACCTCCCAGCACCCAGCCGACGCAACGTTTTAGGATAACCGGCCGTGATAGCATACACATACGCAGATGCGTGGTTGCATTCGCTCACGTCACTACGAATGTCTGCACACCACCCTTCACAACCTGCTTGCCAACGGAATTGCTGACGGCACTGTGAGAGGCAACCCGAGCCCAAGCATCAAAGAAGATAGTCTGTGGGGCGGTTGATGTTGCCCACGATGCGCTTCCCGGCTTCTGCCGGGGATCGTAGCGTCGTTGCTCCTGTTGCTGTTCTGTGAACGCCTGCGGCAGCACGACCGCGCTGGCCTCGACCTCAGCACCGCGCGCTGTGTTTCCAGGCCGGTCGGCGTCTGGGGGAAGATTGTGGGCTCGCTGTGCGCCATCGCTGGCGTGCTGACCATAGCGCTTCCAGTGCCGGTGATCGTCTCCAACTTCAACTACTTCTATCACCGCGAGACCGACCAGGAGGAGATGCAGTCCTGCAACTTCAACCACGTCACCAGCTGTCCGTACCTGCCCGGTACTGTAGGTGGGTGATGTTCTGCCTACCTTCTGTCGGCTGTTACAGGGGCTACCTATGAATCAACAATGCATACTTGCCTTGTCCTAGCTGAATGCAGGCTCTGTCAGAAAGTGTCACTGGCCTGTACCAACATAATAATGTGTTCCCCAGAATATAGATATTTTGGTGCCTATACTGTGGCAGGATGAGGAGCCGATCAAGATAGTATGTTGGCTATTTTCGATGCCTTTCGAGAAATTGGTGTCACTTTTTCATCAGCAACTTAACATAGCTTCACCGTGAACATTTATCCACACCGTCAGACCGCAGAACAAATCGCATAGAGCCTGCGTAGAAACAGACATAACCACCCTTCCGGCCACTTTTACAGGCCAGCAGGTCAAGAAGGACTCAATGTCCGACTCCTCGTCAGAGATGGACATGGAGGAGGGCCACCTGCTCAGCCACGAGGCGTCCACCAAGCTCAACTGTGCGCCGCGACATAACAACAATGTGAACGCAGTCAGTATCGAGACCGACGTCTGACGGCGGGTAAGAGCACCAGCGGCCGCGCTTCGCCACCGGCCGCCTCGCGAGCCGCGCTTCGCCGCCGGCCGCCTCGCAAGCCGCGCTTCGCCACCGGCCGCTGCGCGGGCTGGGCTTCGCCACTGGGCGCCTGCCAGCGCGCGCTTCGCCGTCGGCCGCCTGGCAAGCCGCGCTTCGCTACCGGCCGCCTCGCGAGCCGCGCTTCGCCGCCGGCCGCCTCGCGGGCAGCGCCTCCCGGTCACCTTGCGAGTCGCGTCCCCCAGTCGCCGTGGTAACGGCACCGCTTCACCACGCCCCGCAACCCAGCGCCTGGCTCCGTGTGCATTATGCGACTGCGACTGCAGACGCGGCCGGGGACTGCGCTCAGCGAGACGTGCTTTGAGGCGACGTTGCCAGACAGGCCACGCGTGCGCTTTGAGACTCGTTACGAATGGTCCAGAGCAGCCGAGAACATGTCAGAGCTGAACGGTCCGGTCGCCAATGTGTAAGGTTGTACCAGAAGGTAGTGATGGGGTTGACAGCTTCTGCAGGGCTGTTTCGTGTCCGGGCGAGCTCTGCCGTCGAGAAAGCCTTCAGGGCGGCGCCGAACCGCCTTTGACCCTTGCTGTTTATGTCGTCACAAGTTGGGCAGGAGTGGGCGCACCATCAAAGCTGGCGGCACCAAACACGGGCCGCGATATAAAGAACCTGAGTCGGTAAACATTGAGCCGAAGCGCCGCACTCGCCTGAATGGGGTCCTCCTTAATCTCTCTCCTTCTGAAAGCGGCGCGCCAGTGCTGGTGCCAAGAGACCGCGATACGCTGAGCGAGTTGGACACCCGCGTGTAATCGGAGGGCGAGAATCCCCAGAGCTTTCGGCGGAGCTTCCGCGTTTTCTGCACGTCCACAGGCCGTCACAGGCTGGATGGTTTCTGAGGGCTTCTAGTGGCGTCATACGAGGCGCCGAGAAAGTAACAAATGGTCGGAATGCGGCGTTGGAATAGGATGGGCTAGAGCTTTGCAAAAGCGTGATTAATATTCGCTTCAAAAACTGCAGGCAGTTTTGAATGTCAGTTTTGATCCCTGGGATGTATTTCTTGAGGGGTTTGCGCTGTTTGGAACAGATGGTACGTCAATTTTTCACTTGGTACCTATAAGCAAGAAAGGCATTGATGGCATAGGTCTTCGAGCCTAAGCTCATAACGTATATGGCTTTGTACATTCCGTAAGATATATTCTCTGCCCATATTGTGGTTGCATTGTTCGTTTAATCCTTCAGATATATGAAATTCATACATGCATACAGATATTGAAAATCAACTAGGAGCTACGCTGCAAGCCGTGTCGGTGTTGATTAAATCTTGATATGATCTTTGGCTTAAGCGACTCATCCCGGCCCGACCCTTGCGTTTTTCAAGAGCTGATAAGTTGGCGCCCAGTGATTACAGGTTAATGCAGCTGTTGGCAACAAGAAGCATATTTCTTTAAAAACTCTGCTATGTAAACTGCACGCTTGTAAACTGTTTAAATAGACAGATCTCCCTATAACATTGCACAAACATCTGAAGTCCAAACACAATTTTTGGAAACGGTATATGCACTCGTCGCAACCGTGTCCAAACCTTGATGCTACGGCGGCTCAGCGACGTGGGACTAACGCGTGTTCGTATAGAAGAGCATAGGGACTAATGTGCCGGCAAAAGTGTAGTTCTATATGCGAAAAAGGTCACACGCTTCCGTCCATGAAATATGGATCCGTTTGTTTGAGTCTGTTTTTAAAGACTAACTCCAAAAGAGCAGCTCAAACAGACGAAGACATGGAACTGAATGCACTGTGCAGAAGCATGTGGCTCATAAACGGATCTTGACGCCGTTCCGCCCATAAGCTGTCAGCAATGGATCGCAAGACGGTCAACGCCACGCCTTTTTTGAAACCGACTTTAAATGCAGCAGGGCGCTGTGGCGTAGGGCGCGAGAGAGGCCATGAAAACCACACGAGTGCTTATTTCTGTCCACGGTCGCCGATTCCTACTTAACAATATTTGAACTTAACGTAGTACTTTGACCGCGATTGCTAAAGCAGTAAATACACTGGCACCAGCCGATTTTGTCGAATGGAACCGCGGGTCCTGGCCAAACTCGTATTCGAGCAATTTTCAAGCATCTGTTTGTGAACTAACACGCAAATTCTATATCAGTAGCCTTTCACCTGTTAACTGGCATGACGATGAACTTTTCAATGCATTCACCAAACTGATTGGCGCGGACTAGCAAGGGTACCGGCTCCACTAGCTCAGCATTTAGTATAGTCTACATGCCGTGACGGATCCAGAGGGGTGGGGGTGGGGGGACAAACCCGTGCCCCCTCGAAATGGACGAGACGCGGTTTTTTCAACACAAAACACGGCAAAATTGGAATTTTTTACCTCTTGGTGGCCAATAAACAGTCGAACATGAAAATGAAAGAGCCGTGAGCTGACAAAAATAATTCTCTGTTGAGTGAGAGTGCGATGATTGGGAAGATTTCAAAGTTCATTACGCTGTCCCTAGGGCCTGGCGACGAGGGGCTACGCTGTTGCGGGGACCCCATATGTTCACTTGCCGGGTCAACTCAGTCGCTAAGGAACCTTCCACGCTGCCACTAATCTTTTAGACATTTGCTCGGAGGACCCAACGCTGCTGTGGGGCTTTATCTGTCCACGTGCCGGGGAACTCTAGGTCGGTCAGAGGCCCTCCGCGTATTCTTCCCATTCACCCGAAGAGCTCTATACGCTATTGCCGTCCCCCATAGGTAAACCTGCCGGATACTCTCAGTTGCTCAGGGGCCCTCCACATTGGCCTTGGGTTCTTTCCACTTGCTCGCAGGGCCCTGGGCCGTTACTGGGGCCCATATAAGTTAACGCAGAGACACGTGATGCTCAGGGACCCTCTGCATCAATCTAGGGCACTTTCCGTTGATCTCATCTGCGGAGGACCCTTCACTCTTGTCGGGGCCCTTTCTGTTAACCTGTCAGAGCTCTCTTAATCGCACCGGGGCCCGCTACAATGGTCACGGGCACTCATATTCGCTCAGAGGACCCTACGCTGATGTCCGGGGCCTTACACGCTCATCTGACGAGGCACTCTCGATCAATCAAGGGTATTAATACATTTACACTAGTTTTGGGCTCTTCCCGTTTGCTCGGAGAACCTTGCACTTCAGCCGGGGCCCCTCATGTCAACCTGTCGGGACACTCGCGATCGTTCAGAGGCCCATCACTTGTCTTGGGTTCCACCTACTTGCTCTGAGGGCGCTGCACTGTTTAGGGGGCCTCTTTGTTTGCCTGCCGCGGCACTTCGATTGTCCAGGTGCCGTCCCTATTGATCTAAGTTTTTCCCTTTTTGTCGGAGGGCCTCCACTTCTACACCTTTGATACGGACCAAAACGTGAATTGGACGGGGCGCGCTTGACCGCTCAGGTGCCGTGCCTATTGGTTTTCGGTTGTACCACTTTATCGGAGGGTCTAAACGCCGGGGACGTTGAAGCTGACCTCGACGGCGACGTAAATGTTTATCGGCCAGGGTACCCTTGATCGCTCCAGAGTCCTCCACGCTGGCGGTGGGCTCTTCCGGAGACGTCAGAAGGATCTGACTCTGCTGCCGGAAGCCACACATGTGCTTGGGAACGCCGGGTTGTTTCGCCTGCTCGCGTGCGAGGGCCTGAGTAATCACTTCATGTGCACAAGTTTGCGATTTACGCCATGAGGATTTCCCTCGGCGCCCTAGCCTTAGAGCAGCGGTCGGACACTCTCCGATGAATTATTTTAGCGCCATTGCCGAATATTTTTGGCGATAATTTGACGCGCCCCCGACGTTGTATACGTTATTTCCGTTGGCTACTGAATTCGTGACACTTATCATGCTTGTGCATCACGTTCATCACGTTCTTAACACATTTTGAAGGCTAGGATGTATTGTACCCTTTCAATATAGCCAAAGCAATGGTTTTGCATCACTCATCAGTTGTTACATCGACCAGCCGGCCAGCCGCTGAAAGCCGGTTGGCAGTAAATAACATTGGAAGCAAGTATCGTGCTTGATTTTGATGGTATGCGGCAGCCTACTGTAGCGCATTTTGCCATATACTCTCCAAAATACGTAGCCTAAAAATAACAGGATCCACAATGATATGGAGAGAATGAACGTGTTCTGTGTATGTACATACGTACCACGCCTAGTTCTCTAGGGCTGCGCACAGGTAGATAGTTCCCACACAAGTAGCATAATAAAAATATTAAAATTTAATGACCGGATCACCAGGATTTATTTTTCGGAGGGGCACCAAAGTTCAGGGGGCCCACAAAAATTGAAGAAATTGTGCATCCGCCACTGCTGGCATAATACCAATGGATAATTATTACGCCTGTTATTGCTTAACTCCTACGATACGTAAGTTACTCCGCTGCACCGATTCGCAAAATCGAAGTAGAAGTGCAGGCAACTTTATGAGGATTGAGCTCAGTTGTGTATGACCTGCTTTTAGGCGTTAACTTGCGATGAGACATATATATATATATATATATATATATATATATATATATATATATATATATATATATATATGTTTATATATATGTATATATATATATATGTTTAGAGAGAGAGAGAGATATATATATATATTACATATATATATATATATATATATATATATTATAATATATATATAGGATCTGATCTGTTGCCGAAAGCCACACATGTGCTTAGAACGCCGGGTGTTAAGCCTGCTCGCGTGTAAGGGCCCGACTAAATCACTTATATATATATATATATATATATATATATATATATATATATATATATATATACGGGTCTAACTTTAAGGTGGGTTAGTTCTTGAACGCCAGTACTAAATTACGGAAAAGAAGTGCGTCTCTCCTAATCACACATAACTCGGAATTCGGCCAGGGGATGACTAGATTCATCCAGAACTACCAACATCTTTTATGTTTCCGGCACCGAGACCTCGTTGGGATTTTATATGAATTATTCTACTCAGCTTCCATCAGACCGATATAAAAGTGTGTTATTTTAAATTGAGGAGGTTCAACTCGCTTCAATAACTAGGAAGTTCACCCATTTGTTTCATGAAGTGTGTCCAACTTAACCTTGAAATTAAAATAGTCTGTTGTTTATGGGCCAGAGTTGGATAATCACGCTACCACACCACGGCTATAAATCACAGTGTTTCACCATATACGGTGTAACCATTACGAAAGTAACTCGCTGAAATCTGGCCCAAGTTTTGAGCTGAACCATCCCAACATGATGCATAATCTACGCAGGGTGTGATATGGATTGCGACGAGGAATTTCTGCGTGTCATTCCCGTTACAGGCCCTGCCTTCGGTCGGTCTTGACACACGACATTACGCACCTGTCTGTCGATTTTTTCGGGTACTACCGGCTCAAAACATTTGGGTATTCCTGTTTGTCTATGACTCACTGTGCGCGCTCCTTCATCACTGACCAATTTTCGGTGCCGGAGCCAGTCGCCTCGGAACGATCTTCCGTGCCGGAGCCAGCCGTCTCTGACCGATCTTCCGTGCCGGAGCCAGCCGCCTCTAACCGATCCTCCGCGACGCTGCCAGCCGCCTCTGACCAATATCCCCGTGCCGCAGCCAGCCACCTCTGACGGTCGCCTTGCCGTTGCAGACGCCCGCCCTTCTGTTCCG